TGCGTGTAGCAGCACATGCGGACCCTCTTGCGCGGATGGTAGGCGTCGGGGCCAACAGGTCCAGACGGCCAGATGCTTGGCTGAAGCTCGTCCAGTGGCTCAGGAAATGCCTGCGGCTTGGCTGAAAGGAGGCCGAAGGATCCGACGGGGAGCTGAAGGGATCTTGAAGGACCGAGGGTCTGACACTCGCAGACCCTTCATCACAAGTGGGTGTGGCTCAAAAGATTATGCAGCTGGGGCAAACCGCGGTATTTTTTGTTGTTGGCACCATTTTTAAGTAGACCTCCGAGAAGCTCAAGCGCTTCAAGTTGAGGCCAGACGACCGTTGCCCTGGTCTGCTGCGGCTCAGGCTGAAAGATCCTGGCATTGCTTTGAGGGGTTTGGGGTTTGGGCCTCAGGGCCAACAACCGGTCCTTGGCGGGCCCAGGGCGTTGAAGGGGAGCTGAAGGGAGCTGAAAGAAGTGAAGAGCTGCGGCCAACTCGGCGGAGGAAGAAACCAACACGCCCGCAAAAAATGCCGTGGGGCTCTTGGCATGCTGAGGCATGAGTCTGAAATGTTGCTTTGCATCGTGGTTTGCTGGGAGGCTGGGCCCTGGCAGTTGCCAGCAGCGGCGCCAGCCCGAGTTCCAGTGGCTTGGCTGGGTGGGGTACTGTTTGCTCGGCGGCCCATGCGCAGAGGTAGGCGCAAGGCCGCATTTTGCCCGGGCAACGACATACAGAGGTCGCGAGGCTGGCATAGGTTCCATCAAACGATCAGATTCCATAGGAAGCTGTTGGTAGCAACTGTAGCGACACACAAGGCACACAAGGAACGGGCAAGAGTGCGACAATGGAGACGACCAGCATAACCAGTGTCACACAGCAACGAGCCATGGTGAACGCGTGCCATTTCGGACTTGGTTTTAGGTCGATGACGGGGACGATCGGCCGCTGCAAAGCTTGGCTGTTGAAGCTCGTCATCCAGCGCTAGCTCCACAAGTGCCGACGGCTGCTTGGCTGAAGGGAGCTGAAGGGAGCTGAAGGAGCTTCTGAAAAAATCAAGAGCTGACGCCAACTTTAGGCGTCGGGGCCAACGGGTCCACATGGCCAGATGCTTGAACCATTTCAGGTCGATGACGGGGATGATCGGCCGCTGCAGAGCTTGGCTGTTGAAGCTCGTCATCCAGTGGCTCAGGAAATGCCAGCTGCTTGGCTGAAAGGAGGCTGAAGGGGAGCTGGAAGATAATCGTATTTGAGAGCAGCGGCGAGCTTGACAGAGAAGAACACGTTCGCTCAAATGAAGGGCGTTGAAGCCTTGCATGTGGACGCTGCAGTGTTGAATGTTGAATCGAATCGTGGGTTGCTGGGACTTGACCGCGGCTCAGGCTGTACCCTGGCAGAGGCAGCCAGCTCCAGCGGCGCCACAAGCTCCGGTGACGTGGCTGATGGCTGGGGTTGGGCCGGCCTGAGGGTGCAGAGGTCAAGGCCGCGTTGCTGGGCTGGGCGGCTTTTGAGGGCTGGTAGGCGTCGGATGGCCAACAGGTCCAGATGGCCAGGTGCTTGAATCAGGTCGATGACGGGGATGATCGGCCGCTGCAGAGCTTGGCTGAGGCTCGTCATCCAGCGGCTTGGCTGAGAGGAGGCCGAAGGGGAGCTGAAGGGAGCTTGAAGGACCGAGGGTCTGACACTCGCAGACCCTTCATCACACACAAATACACATCACACCTTTGAACCAGACAAAAGTAAAGCTGAAGCGCTTCAGGCCAGACGACCATTGCCCTGGTCTGACGCTGCGGCTCAGGCGCTGACAGATCCTGGCATTGCTTTGGGGGGGTGAGCCTTGCAGGGGCCAACAACAGATTCTTGGCGGGTCCGGGGTGTTAGGCCACTTTTTAGACAGACATCTTGAGGATGTCTTAGTAAAATTGGCGCAGTACACTAGGGTGAAAGAAGCTGGCACAACTCCCCTTTTATGTGGCTACACCAACCAAGTTCACGGAATTGTGCCACGCACGTTTGCCCCACGTGTTTTTCACAGAGATACTTGGGATCTTTAGACTTACGCTTGTTTTCGGAGATGCGGATTTCAGCAAGCAGTTGTTCACTTTGCATGGGATTCAGCCACTAAGCTATGACTGCTTTGGAGCCTTCGCAACCCATTTGTCTCGCGGATGAAGCGAACTCTTTCGTATATTTGTTAGACCCTGGGATTCCAAGCACCATGGAATGCACAAAGTGCTGTGGCTCGAAATTTAAGAGCTAGGGTTACGCAGGTTTGGGTCTTTGGTTCCATTTACCAGGGGGCCATTTTGTGTACCGGTTTTTTGAGCCACGGCCAAATGGTGAGTATAAGCACCATTTGCCGTGTTTCCAAATTGGGCCCCAGGGCCGGGCCATTCTTTCAAGAGGGTAGACCACTCGAGGTCACAATCAAAAATGCTGGTAGATGAAGGTTGGTGAGGGACAATCCCCTTGCCACAATAGCTGCGGCAATTCGCCGTCTTAAGTCTCGAAGTATGGATTTGATGATGACTCACGCACTGAATCACTGAATCACTGACTGACGGACGGACGGACTGACGGACGGACGGACTCCCTGACGGACGGACTGACGGACGGACTGACGGACGGACTCACTCACGGACGGACGGACTGACGGACTGACGGACGGACTGACGGACTCACGGACGGACTGACGGACGGACTCACTCACGGATGGACGGACTGACGGACTGACTGACGGTGACGGACGGACAAACTCACTGACGGACTGACTGACTGGCTGACGGACGGACTGACGGACGGACTGACTCACTAACTGACTGACAAACGGACGCATTGACTGACTGACGGACGGACTGACGGACGGACTGACTGATTGACTGACTGGCGGACGGACGGACTGACGAACGGACAGACGGACGGACTGACGGACTGACGGACTGACTGACTGACGGACTGACGGACGGACTGACTGACGAACGGACAGACTCGCTGACGGACGGACTGACGGACGGACGAACTGTTGGACGGACTGACTGACTGACTGACTGACGGACGGACTGACGGACGGACTGACTAACTGACTGACAAACGGACGCATTGACTGACGGACGGACTGACGGACGGACTGACTGATTGACTGACGGACTGACGGACGGACGGACGGACTGACAAACGGACAGACGGACGGACGGACTCACTCACTGACGGACGGACTGACTGACGGACCCACTGACTGACGGACGGAGTGACGGACTGACTGACGGACAGACTGACGGACGGACTGACGGACGGACTGACAGACGGACTGACGGACGGACGGACGGACTGACGGACGGACTGAGTGACTGACGGACGGACTGACTGATTGACTGTCTGACGGACTGACTGACGGACTGCCTGACTGACGGACAGACGGACTGACGGACGGACTGACGGACGGACTGACGGACTGACTGACGGACGGACTGACTGACGGACCGACTGACGGACGGACTGACGGACGGACTGACGGACGGACTCACTCACTGACGAAGGGACGGACATGGACGGACTGACTGACGGACGGACTGACTGACAAACGGACTGACGGACGGACTGACTGACTGACTGACGGATGACGGACGGACTGACGGACGGACTGACTGACGGACGGACTGACTGATTGACTGACGGACTGACTGACTGACGGACGGATGACGGACTGACGGACGGACTGACTGACGGACGGACTGACTGATTGACTGACTGACTGACGGACTGACTGACGGACAGACTGACGAACGGACGACTGACGGACGGACTGACTGACGAACGGACGGACTGGCGGACGGACTGGCTGACGGACTGACGGACTGACTGACGGACGGACTGACGGACAGACGGACGGACGGACTGACGGACGGACGGACTGACGGACTGACTGACGAACGGACGGGCTGGCGGACGGACTGACGGACTGACGGACGGACTGACTGACGGACAGACGGACGGACGGACTGACGGACGGACGGACTGTTGGACGGACTGACTGACGAACGGACGGACTGGCGGACGGACGGACGGACAGACGGACGGACGGACTGACGGACTGTTGGACGGACGGACGGACTGGCGGACGGACTGACTGACGGACGAACTGACTGACGGACGGACGGACTGGCGGACGGACTGACGGACTGACGGACGAACGGACTGACTGACTGACGGACAGACGGACGGAAGTAGTCCGCAGCCATGCGCCGCAGGTGCCCTCCCGGGCTGCGCGGCGCAACCAGCTCCGGGTGGATCGTGTGATGCCAGTGGGCTGATGGCCTCACCCGGTGATGTTGGGACGGGGCTATTTCTATGTGCTCAGCCATCCCCAGAAAGTTGCTCCTTATTTTTGGAGGGCTTGAAACTAGCTCACTTGTTTTTTTGGTTCGGGGAGGCGGCCGCTGAACTGCTGGTAAACCCGAAGGAGCTCGGTGGCCAGAGACGTTTGCTTCTGAAGCTCGGAGTGCATTGAGACAGCCTATGCCCGGAGGCCAGAGCGTAGCGTGCATGCAACACGCGGCAAATGTCGCAGGGGAATCACTGCAGCTGGTGGGGAGCCTGCCGCAGTTGACAAGCGGTCACAAAAAATGCGCAAAACGCCTCGGTATTTGTTGGCCATCATCTTCTCGATTTTCCCCAAACAGAAAACCAAAAAGGCCGGGCCTATGTTATCCAAGGGGGAGACTCCTTGTGGATTTGGGGAAAAATCGCTTTGCTCGTTTTTCCAGACCAATTTAGCGCTTGAAGCAGCCAGTTCTCTGCCGCGGAACGTGTCAAATCGCGCCAGGATCCGATTTCTCAGCAGGTGCTACGGCAATTCTGCCCCGGATTTGATGAGTCGAACTAGCGGGGGTTGCAAGACTTGTGTGTGTGTTTTCCCCAACGCACACACACGGACACAAACACAGACACAAACACAGACACAACACACAGACACACAGACACACAGACACACCCATTTGAAGGTTATGTTCGCAGGTTGCATGGCCGGTTTGAACTTGAGGCTTTGTCCCGCCACTGAATTGTCCTCGCTCCCTTTGGGCCATCGATGTTTTGACTTGGGGGGTTGGCTCCTTTATCCATCGTCATTTGGAGGTGCAAGAAGCATTTGGAGATCCAAGCGATCCAAGGCACATATTCCAAAATTGCCTGGCAGGTGAAGTTGGGTGTTTCAGTGCGCAAAAGAAAGCCAAGCTTCAGTGCAGGTGTTCAACCCACAGCAAGGTTTGCAACGCTTGATTGCTGTTTGTGGGACTTTTTGATTAACCTTCAGCTGTTTTTTTGTTCGACGCGTGTTATCCCAAAAAAAAGAGTGACACGTTTCGGTGCCGGCCATCGCCGCACGGAAGGGTTGACTCTTTGCAGCTGCGGGCCCGATTGCTCCGACGGGGAGCCCGACGACATGGCGGAGGAAGAGGATTTGGATCCGCCGCTCGGCCTAGGTGTAGGGTAGGGTTCGGTAGGTTTAGCGTCTTCCATGTGCTTAAGAATGTATTTTTTGGTCTTAAAGGGAATCTATCACTACTGGAATATTTTTATTTTGTCCAGGAGTCTTAGCCAAATGGAAGTCGTTGGTTTAAGGTTGGAGTTGTGTGGCCCTTTGGTGAACACTGCGGGCCATTAGGGCCTTCGGGATCCTTATGCTTCCCTTCCTGGAAGGATCATAGGTGGGTCATGGCTATTGCAGGTGTTTACTCTTACTTAGTGTAATGCTATAGTGGAATATAAGCAACACCCGATGAATCTTGAAGGGACCGCCCACAAAGCTCCAGCGTGACAAATTTTTATTTGGAGACCAAACCGCGGAAGGAAGAATTCGCAGCGCGCCCAGTCTTGCAGTGGTTTCCTTTGGGTCGGAGGGGGCGTCCCTTGGAAATCAACTAGCATGCGAAAGGTGACCACATGATTCCTGGCCGCTTGTTGCGCTTTTTTTTTTTTGAGGGGGGGGACAACGGGTTCTCAGCGAAGAATGCCAGGATACAAGCCCCACATTGCAACAGTTAAAGAAACTGGCTTAAGGCAAGTCCGGAATCCGCCGGCATTCTTCCTATACGCAAGTCCCCCCCTCCAAAAGTTGTTTTTTCCCCGATTCTCATGGCTTCTTTTTCTTGGACCCCATAATGAGATTTTGGAGAACAATCTCACAAGTCCTTGATGCACTTTCACTTAAGTTGATGTTCACCAACGGCCCCCCAATTGAAATTTCCATAGCCGCAGTGTTCCTTCAGCAACCATCCACACAGCTTGAATTCGGACGATTGCTGGTCAACCAATATGGATGAGGCCAATTTCCCCAAAAAAAACCATCCACAAAAAAAACAGTCGGCTTTTGCCCCTTCGAGCATCAAGCCATCGGCGGCCATTGGCCAAAGCCAGTGGCCCAAGCTACCGGTCGGCGCTACCGGTTCGGCGAGGGGAGCAAGGAACCTTGGACTGCCCCTTGCGGTGGGAGATCGACGTATTTGCTAACCGGCTAATCCCAACACAAAAATACCAAGAACAGAGAGAGAGGCAAAACACAACAAAGAACAAGAAAGGCGAAACAGAACGACCGACCGGGCGCCCCCCTTCCCCTTCAACGTATCTCTTTCCGAAAAGCGTCCCCGAGCCTCCTGATTCACAGGGAGCTCAAGGGAGCCATCCTATTTGGAAGAACCCCTTATGGCCGACTGATGCTCTGCCAAATCTGCATTTGCCATAAATAGGAGCCAAGTGAATCTACATTTTCCAAGTGACTGATGCTTTTCCAAGTGAATAAATAGGAGCTCGTCGAACAAGACACGTTACTATCAAAGGAGTCGCAGGAAATAAGGACGTCCAGCGTCCCTTCGCCCAGGCGCTGGCGCCTGCGGCGGCAGCTCTTGCGCCTCAACAGCCTCGCCTGGGCGCGCGCGGAGCAGAAGGAGACGCAGCAAGCGCTGCGCGCCTTGGGGATACCGCAGGACCCAGGGGGCCCGTTTTTTTGGTTTATGTGGTTGGTTGGATTGTTTTTTGTTTTTTGGTTGGGGGGGTTCTGTTTAGGGTGTGTTTTTTTTGTGGTTGGTTGGTGTTTTTTTTTGGGTGTGGTTTGGGGTTTTTGGTGGTTTGTTGGTTGTTTTTTTTTGGGGGGGGGTTTTGGCTTGGTTGTTGCATGTTGTTTCTGTAGTTTTGGTTTGGTGGTTGGTGGTTTCTCCGGAACAGAGGCAGAAAATATGTTATTTGTGCCCTGGATGTGGGCCGAGGTTTTGGTCTGGTTGTTAGTGGGATGTTGCTACAACAATGTTGTTTGTTTAATGTGGTTTGCATGGCTGGGTCGGGGACATTCGGCGTGACCGTTTTCCCGACGCCCTCCCCCACCGTCGAAAAGAATGTTTTGTCGGGTTGGAGAAGCAATGCTACACACAGCCCATTTAACATGTGTTTTTCCGGGGACCGGGGGAGGGGGGGTTACGTCCAAAAAACTTCCGCACAACATGCAGAAGGCGCATTCTGGTTGTACCCAAGGCTCCTTTGACTGATTGATTGCAAGTACAGAAGCTAGAGGGAACCCGCTCGGTTCCATGGCGGCAGTCTTTCCCTCCCTCCTCCCCTCCCCTCCCCTCCCCTCCCCTCCCACACCTTCGCAGTTCGGAGCTCGGGTTTAGGAGGTGGACTTGTCCTCGGTGTGCCGGGAGCTCGGCACCTTCGAAACCCAGGCCCGGGCACGGCCCAGTTTGGTGCAGTCTCCTTGGGGCGATCTGCAAGAGGAACAGATGGACATGTGCTTCCATTTGCTTAGCATGTGTTGTTTTTCCTTGTTGGTTTTAAAGGGAACGACTGGACATATTCTTAGTTTTGTCTCCAGGGCTTAAGCAAATGGGAGGTTGAGTTGATCCCTCTACCAAGATGGGCAGAATGCTGTCCCGTGTAGCGGTGGCCCAGAAAAGTAATCATTTCCGGGACACCGTGTGCAACCCTGGCGTGGTTATTTTTGTTGAACGAATTTCCTGGTGCAAGATGACGCCTTGGTCGGGGGGTTTCATGGGGGTGCCGGGTTGAACAGTTTCTAGGCCCCCCAGTAGTGCCCTTTGACCCTTTTTTTGGGGAGGGTTCCCCTACTAAAATAGACTGCAGAAAAAAGTTGGCACTCTTCTTCTAGCCTCTCCACTGGAGGACCTAGGTTTGTTGTGGTCGCCCAACGAAGCCTCACGAAGCCCGGACTCCGATCCCATGTCACACAGGGGGCTCGCCAGGGCGCCAGGACCCTGGCGCCGCCGAAGGCCAAACAAAATTTGCGGAGCCACTCATTCTGCGCTTCAAGGTAAGCGAAAAATGAAGACAGACATGAAGCATATTTGTTATCTTGGTGGCTCCCAGCCCCTTTCAGTGTTTAGTGGTAGTTTCCGTATTTAACCCACTAAAAGTTAGTCACTTAGCGGGGATCTGAGGGCAGCCCAGTTATTTCTGGACTGCAAATTGGTAGCTTCCCCTAGCCACAGGCGGAGGTCGAGGCTCCAGACCTCGCCGCAACTTGGATGGCGCTTCGCGCAAGCGTGGAAGTCGTTGTACAGGTTTGTGTCTATAGGTGTCCTTTTTAGATCAGTTTGGTTAGAAATCGATGGCATTGGTTTGGATCGGTTTTGTTGCCATCTGTTTTTTCCTCATAAGGTCGCCGATGTTTGTTTCCAGATGAGAGATGTGAAGACATTCCGTGTTGTTGCTTCAGTTTTGGGGAGGGCGACAGGGCGCATGAGCATGCAAGACTTGAAGAGGAAGAGCCGCTGTGCGAAGCTGGTAAGAGAACCCTTCTGCTGCACGAGGTTGGGCATCAAAATTTCCGGGAGTCTACCTACGTTGCCATCCGGAGAATAATTGTTGTCTATCATGATTGATTATTATGTCACGCTTATCAGGACTGAGGTCATGCAATCATCCAAGGAGAGCTGCTGCATTGATCTTGCGCAGCATGTTTCTGAAGAAGCTTGCAAGTAGCGCCGCCCAAGTGATTCTTTGTTTTTGGTGTCAATGCGACAAGCCTTGTTTGATTTACAAGCATTCCATGGCGTGTGCGATGATTCAAGCAAGGGTCCTCGTTGTGTACCAGCCAGACGCAAGGTGTGCGACGTGCTGGCTTTCTTGCAGCACGCAACGCCTGCAGAGCAGGCAAGCTGTGGGCGGGCTCCAGTGAAGCCCCAGCACCACCCCCGCCCCCCCCCCCCCCCCGCCCCCACAACCAGAACATCATCATCAGCGTCATCGTCATCGTCGTCAGCGTCATCAACAAGAGCAGGAACACGAACAGGAGCACCAGCAGCAGCAGCAGCAGCAGCAGCAGCAGCAGCAGCAGCAGCAGCAGCAGCAGCAGCAGCAGCAGCAGCAGCAGCAGCAGCAGCAGCAGCAGCAAAAGCACCAACGGCAACAACAACCACAACACGAACACCAACGACGACGACCACGACCACGACCACGACCACGACCACGACGACGACGACGACGACCACCACAACCACAACCACAACCACAACCACAACAACCACAACAACCACAACAACCACAACAACAACAACAACAACGACAACAACAACAACAACAACAACAACAACAACAACAACAACAACAACAACAACAACAACAACAACAACAACAACAACAACAACAACAACAACAACAACAACAACAACAACAACAACAACAACAACAACAACAACAACAACAACAACAACAACAACAACAACAACACAACCACAACCACAACCACAACCACAACCACAACCACAACCACAACCACAACCACAACCACAACCACAACCACAACCACAACCACAACCACAACCACAACCACAACCACAACCACAACCACAACCACAACCACAACCACAACCACAACAACAACCACAACCACAACCACAACCACAACCACAACAACAACAACAACAACAACAACAACAACAACAACAACAACAACAACAACAACAAAACAAGTTTCGCAACGCTGATTTGAAGGGCGCTGAGAGCCGCACGTATCCAGTTGGTCGGTACCCTGCGCGCGGTGCCAGAGGGTTCCCCGCAGCACTGTTGGCCTCACATGCCCAAGTAGGAATTTGTTTTTTAAAGGCAGTCCATTTGTTCCAGCGCGCCTCCCCCCAACAAAGACAACACAATAAGGCGCTTTTGGAGGAAAATTGACAAGTCTTGGTTGGGGATGGGGCTCCATGGGTTCCTGGAGCAACGCGGGGCGCCACGCGGGTCCTGGCGCGTGAGACAACAGGACTTCAAAAAGCTCAACGACTCGGAGAGCCACACTGCTATACACCGGATCCAGGAGACGGGGAGACCAGGTGGAACATGCGCTAAGAAGGCGCCTTAATGGGAACCCAGGTAAACACTCCCTGCTGGATTAATATGGGGGGGGGCACCCCACTTAAGAGGAACCCTTAACTTTTCGGGGGAAGCACGCCGCTAGCAATCTGCCGGGTTGATCAATCTGGGGTTGGCATCAAAAGCAACTTCCAATGCTTCCGCACGCGTGCGTTGATTTACGATTGCTATGCTTGCCTGTACATGCGCATGAGCATTCGCTCTGGGAAGGAGGGCCAGTCACTGTGTTGTGCGGGCGGGCGTGTGGCCAAACTGCGGCAGCCCCGGCTTTCCAAGTGGCCCCCATGCTACCTGAGTCTGAACCCGGCACTTTGGGTATCAACGAGGCTTGGTATAAGAGCTGGCTCAGGTCTACCTCCGATGCTTGAGTGAGGGTGCTGAAAGCCTGAACCGGCGTGCTGCTCTCCGGCATGTCCCCATGCTCCCTCAGCCGCAGGAGAGAGGGCTAAGCCTAAAGAAGTTTAAGGAGCTCTACCTCTTTCTAGAAGGCGCGGTTGCTGGCCGCCCGCGGCTGTTTGATAAGTAAGTGAGCGGCCCACATGTCAGCAGATGGTTCTACTGCCTGGCTTCATGGGGCCTATGAACCTCCATAACCGTGTTGGTAGAGGCAAGCATTTTTAGGAGGCATGCCAAGTTGACCCTTGCTCTATCTTACTTCCCCAGCGGCACTATCATTGGGGAGGTATTGCGGCGACGACGTGTTGCGTGCCAGCTGCAAGGTATCGTGTTTAGAATAGTTCCGTCAAAATTGCAATGTTGTGTTTGCTGACAGGCCTCAGCCGCCAGGGCATACTGCCCTGGTATGACCGCTCTGCACGCCTGGCCGGCATTCCGCTGCAGGAGGCAAACTTCTATCAGGCGACGGGGCAGGGGGGAGGTCAGGCTGCGCGGGGTATCGGTGACTTGAGGATTTATGGAAAGCAGCCAACTTTGCTTTGGAAGCACTTGAAACCATGCCTGATGTGATTGGCGGCCCGTGCTTGGCCTGAAGAGCCTGCTGCCTGGGAACCTGGTAGCAAACCAGGCTTCCACGAATAAAGGGCAACAATCATAAGAGAAGCCCGCGCGCTTATGCGGCAATTGCGAAGGGATGGCCGAACGGAGTTTGAAGATCCCCACCCCCTTAAATATGGAATTGGGGGAGGGGGGTGACCCCTGGAGATCTCCCTTTCTGGTTCCATTTCCTTTGTAAGGGGAAGACTAGCCCTTATAATAGGGGGGATGTGTGAAGCCCGGCTTGAATTCCACCATGCTTTGCTTCATTTGGGAAGCCGCAAGCACAGGAGGCTTTTTCATGTGCACACATGTCAAGCCGCATTTGAGTTGTTGAAGCAGCTACGCTCGTGCTTCTCAAGGGGGGTCAACTTGGGGCATGAGTGGGGCATGGCGAGCTGCGCTGTTTGGGGATGCGGCGGTCCGCTCAAGCCCGGCGGAGGTGAACTACTGGGTCATCGAGCCATTCACAGCGCGAGAGGACATGAGCTACTCAGCTGGCGGTATTGACAGTCGTTCCATTTAAAGACGTTGGACCACAAAATTTCTCACAAAATCAAGGGACACGAATTGTCCCATGTTCTCTTGGGGAAGCAAGTGATTTAGACCGTACTCACACGTTTTTCAACTGCTTCCAGGCTTCTTCCAGGCTTCTTCTAGCCCATCTTTCAGGCACTGTGATGCATTCATTCACGCATTGAGGCCGACGTGAAGTTGGAACCAGCTCTAGGTGAGAACAATGTTATCAGACGTCGAACCCTTCGAGTAAAAATGAAGAGCCCAATTGAGATGTTGCATGCCCACGCATTGCGGGGAATTTGGCGGGACTGACCGAGTTTCCAGTGGACGGGAGATGCTTTTCATACCCTCTCTCCCTACTATGGCATCTCACAGGGGGTCCCTCCAAGAAGCGGAATTCCAGATACCCTCCGCAGCCATGTTGGTGGGAGGAGTGTCCTTTCTAGCTTTGGCTTTGTGGAACTTTGTGTTCTGACCCTGGCTCACGTGCAGAACTGCTGACGATCACGGTCTCAGGTTACATGGAGATAGTCAGCGACGAGTCTGCGCAACGCCCGACGTGGTTCATCTCCCACTGGTGGGGCGAGGCGATGTGAAGGTTTTCCTCCCCAAACATGGAATTGGGGGAGAGAGGG